CTCACCGTTTGTAGCTGAGGGAGACGTACAGCTCACCGTGTGTAACTGAGGGAGACGTACAGCTCACCGTGTGTAGCTGAGGGAGATGTACAGCTCACCGTTTGTAGCTGACCGCACCATACCACTGGAAGTCACTCGGAGCAAGGTTAACATGGTAACTCGGGTCCCAGTCAGCTGAGTGCACCAGAGCTGAACTAGTACTACAGGCCCACAAAGCAGACAGCAGGCCACCTCTCTATTCCTCTCCCCATTCTCTTCTAGATTAAGTAGGGTAGCAGCCATGACCTCCAGCTTCTGCCCCCACTCTGGCTAAGGCTCTCTCCCCATCCTGGGCCCTTGGTACTATTCTCTTTATAAAGATGCCAGGATGGCTTGCAATCTCAACATGAACAGTCACTGAAACAGCGAAGGTAGGTGAGCAGAGATGTGCCATGTGTGCAGCCAGAGCAGTGACCCCTCCACTCTTCCTTAGCCACACACATGCCGCATCCTGCAGACTGCCCTGGAGAACTGCTTTACAGGCTGTGGTCACGGGAACCTTAGTCGGGTCCATTCAGATGCACCTACAGGTGGTCAGGGGCCAGGGCGGGCATGTTCTCCCACTGTCCAGAGTGTTGATAGCCACAATTCTGACCCTAAGTGTTAAGGGAGATTGTGTTCCATGTTCCCATATTGCTTTTCCCTGTTTCAGCCAGAACAAAAGCTTTAGTTTTGACCCCTACCCTTCAGTGTGCTTTGCTTCAAAAGTTTAATATCCATCGAAAATCTTGACCAAGTATCATGAATTCAAAGGGCAACACAGAACAAACAATGGTATTTTTGTAGACATTTTATCTCATTTTGCTTTGTTTGGGCATTTTTTTTCTTATTGGTCTTTTGCTTGTATATTTTGGTTTCTGTGGTTTTGTTTGTTGTTTGTTTGTTTGTTTGAGGTGGGAGTTGTGTGTGTTTTTTGTTTTTTACTTGTTTTTGTTTTAAAGAAAAAAGTCAAGGAATTGAGTAGGTGGGGAGGTAGGGAGGATCTGGGAGGGATCAGAGCAAGAGGAAAGCATGATCAGAATATATTGTATGAAGCAATTTTTTTAAGACCTGGGATGCATGTACATGGCTCTCCCTTCACTACCTCGCGGTTTTGTATGCTGGGACGAACCAGAGCAGAGCTTGCCAGAGAACAGGGTTGGACTGTGCCTCACCCTTCCAGGATCCTGCAACAAATTCCTTTCTGTCTTGTGAGTTAATCCCCAAATAAATTCCTTTGATCATTAAGCAGGCTCCGTGGATTGCTGGCGATATAATCCCAATAGTCAGGGCAGCACATGGTTGCACATGCCTCTAATCTCACCACTCAGCAGACAGAGGCAGACTGATATCTGAAAGTTCAGTGATAGCCTGAGCTATGTAGAGAGCTCCAGACCAGCTAGGACCACATAGTGAGATCCTGTCTCAACATATGTAGACACATAAAGGTCAATATAACATGTGCGCAGCATGTGAACAGGGGAGTGCCACCATAAGGCCTGTTCCTTCTCTTTGCCCTACAGTTTAGCAAACAGCTTTGCAGCCTTTTTGCCATTTCTTATGAAGATCTCGGAAAGGCGGGGAAAATAGATAGCATCACTGACGCTCCTAGGGCTATCGAAACGGACGCCCAGAGAAGGCCGATCACTTGCCCGGGTTCCTATAACTGGTTGAGAAGCGGCAAGAGCAGCGTCTACATGCCTTCGGGTTTCTGAACTATTTCACTCCTTTTTTCACATGAGGGTGAAAAGTCTCCGATGTCCAAGGTCAGCATAGTGGAAGCTAGAGGGATAAGACTCCATCATTTCCAAAAGCGATGGTACAGTCTAGAGCCCAAAGCTCCATGCTGTGCATGGATCTTTGTTTAAATTAGGAAGCTGATTATAACCACCCCCCAAAACACAGTTTTCTTTCTCTCATTTTCTTTTTCTCTGTGACTGAACCACATCTACTTATTTAATCTACAAAACTCTGTCTACCCATCAGATAGCCTTAGGCTAGAAAAAACAAAGAAAAAAATCACAATTAAAGCATTAATAGAGTTTTCACAGCTAGCAGAAATAATGATAGAAAGCATAGGCATCAAATCTATAAATTAAGCATAAAATTACATTAAGAAATAAGTTCCTGCTAGTATCCAATCAAGGTGGCCAGCAGACTGCAGAGACAATCTAATATGCAGCCAACCGTCTAATAAACAAATGGCCGTCATCAACACCGGCATGCAATCTCTGCACGGGGGGCAGTACAGACCTCACTTACTCCTTACCCGTTTTATCAAATCTATATTGAATGAGATGAAGGAAGGACCAAGTAGGAAGGAAGGCTGGAGAGGTAACAGTGGCCCCCAAAGCATCCAAAGGTCAGCCATTTCTGAATTCGCTGTCTGGGGCTCTAGTTCCTCAAATGAGCCCAAGAGGCTGATGTGAGCACCATGGGCACACAGGGACGGAAGCAGGGACACACAGGGTCACCCATCACTATTAACCCACTGTCTCCACGGGGCAAGCCATCCACAAACAGTGCTGTTCCAGGAACGGTAACAGGATCATAGATGGAGCAGCGTACATACGTAGAGAAGTCAGCAGACTGCTCACACTTGAGGGCATGTTCTAGCTGGTGCATCAGCTGTTTGAGGAGTTCCCGAGTTGGAAATTTCAGACTTTTGAACTATTTATTTTAACATTTTTCAAAAATCCATTTAAGAGCTTCTCTTAAAAAAAAAAAAAAAAAAAAAAAAAAAAAAAAAGTCCTTTCACTGGACCAAAATAAAGGTTACTCCCTCCCGAGATTATTCTCAAGCTGTCCAGTGAGTCAAGTCACTACTCTGTAAGCAAAAGCCATGCCTCGGCCCCTCAAGCAACCGTCACTACTGCAGCCCTTAACTACTGATGATTTCTTATCCAGAATAAAATAAAAGAAGAAGAGAAGATTCATTCAGCAAAAAATCCTCTACGGACATCAGCGGGCTATAATAGACTTGACAGCTAGACAAGAGATTTGGGGAAAGTGTATGGATGTGGATTCTCGTCACTAATGTCGCAGAGTGCCGAGCCACGGAGAGAATTTCGGGAAACTCCTTTATCCAGGGGAGCCACAGCTGACTTGACTCTTCCTGCTAGAAGCAGCCCAGCGTTTTACTAGCTGGCTAACTCGCCGGTGACTGGCTGCCTCACCGCTGGCCCCTCTGCTTCGCCTGGCTGAACACCAAGATTGTGTGGAGTGGGGAGACAAGGAGGTCACCCTACCCACCCCCCCACAATCCCCATCCCATCACCCCCCGCCCCCACCCCCACTCTCCACAGGCAGCCACCACCTCCAGAGAGATCCATTAGCCTTTCTCCTAGAAAGAAACAGGGTGTCAGAGAGAAGGGAACTTTCCGTACACTCCACACTGGCTGTTACAGACGCGTTTAACACGAGACCAGATGTTAATATTTAGTATTCCCACAGAATACACGTTTGCTTTTAAAAAAAAAAAATCAGATTTATTTTTGTGTGGAGACAACCACTTCTGGACCTTTCTTCTTAACGTTATTTCTAATAAAAGATTCTTAGAGCTTAAAACAAGAGACATATATATTAGGTCCGGTCTAAATCGTATCCTTTTAGTTATAACGTTTTATTTAATGTCAAGTGGAATGAATTTTAATGGAAGTCATTTGGAAAATGGGACATTGTCTCCTTCAGAATTGCCTTCCCTTCCACACAGAACCTTGTCTGATTAACTGCTCGCTCCAGAAGCACATAGAAAATCCCTCCTTGTCTGTGCCACTGTCCTGACAAACCACAGAGAACAAGCCTCCATCCCCCAGGGAATTCAGTCCACACTGCACGAGCTTGTACCTTTCCCTGTAAGATGACTAAGACCACGTTTTTGTTTCCATTTTTAAGAATTATATATACATATATGTATGAAATATGTATTCACTTTAAAAAATTCAAAAGTATTGACATTGATGAAGGAGGAAAAACTCCTGTGTAGTCTCCTCACTGCAGTTAAAACAGAGTGGTGTGGAGAGCAAGGAACACATCCTTCCAGAACCTTCTCAATGAATGTCCACACAGTTAACATTCTAGGATGCAAAGTTCACTGTTGGAGGGAAAAAGAAGATGGAAGAAACAGAGAGGAGAGTAACATGGTTGGGGACAAGTCGGTGGGGTGTCCTTACATCATCTCAAGGGCTCCTTCCCCACTGATGGCCGCTCGGTCGACACCTGTTTAAGGACCCCCGTTCTATGGCTCTTCAGTACACTGTCCTAGATGCACCTGAGCCTGCGGTAACCTCTTGCCCATTGGCACAAGGCCACTGAACATGACATCGGATCTACTAACAGTAAAAGGAAGAAAGAGAGGGCCAGGGGAGGCGGGAGAGAACTGGAAAAGGCATCATTGTTTTCCGGTTTCAAAATAAAGGGTTAGGAACACCAGAATCACGTCTATTGTGGAATTTTAGCGCCACAGTTGATGTATCTGTGTATTCCCTTTTCCTCGGTCTGGGATTACCTTCTCATAGCATCTGTCTTTTTTACATAAAAGTGTATTTGGCAAAAAGACAAAGAAGATGCCTATTCGCGATCTGTCGAAAGATTCTGGCCAAGCCCATGACCAGAGCTGTGGGAAAATAGACTGGGGGCGTTCAAATGTTCAGGGCAAGAGTTTTTGGCTGGGAAGCACTAGTGAGTAATAAGTCAGAGAAATGCCCACAGGCAAGGACTTGTCCCCACAAAACCACGGTGGCTTTTGCATCAGTGGACAATCAGTGTGTTTCATTCCAGTCAAAAGGGCAGAGCAAAGTCTTCAGTGATACCCAGTTGGATGATTGGTTAAATGTCATCTAAGCACAAATTAGAAATGCTGGCATGGGGAACCTTCACTATGGGACTGTCCTGTTCCCCTTAACTGACGTGGGAAGACCCGCCCCAAATGTGGGTGGCAGCTCCCCATAGCAGCCCAGATGGTTTTTTTAAAGGACACTCACAGAAGGAAGATTGTCTCTTGCCTGCTTGGCCTTCCCTTCTGCTGAGGAGCTGATCTACCGGATTGCTGCTGCTGCTGCTGCTGCTGATGATGATGATGATGATTCCTTCACTGACATCAGGCCTCTATCACTAAGAATCAGCAGCTCTCCAAGCATCCTTCAGGATTTTAGAATCAGATGTAAACTGTTGAGACACCCAGCCTCAAGGACCAAGCAACCAGCAGGTTCTCGGCCACTCATGGGTAGTTCGGCTGTTGTTTACATATTTTAATTATTTTACCAACTAGTGGATTTCTTCCATAAAGTGTCTTTTCATATTTCCTTAGATTTGATTAACCCAACCTCTACCTCATCATCTCCACAATTCCTCTGACACCACTTAAACCTTTAGCCCCAAGTAAAGCCCCCCCCCCCCTTATTCCACATTACTGGTTTTACTTCCCCCTCTAACTGAATTTTTATGGTCTGACCCAGTGCTGGTCCCTGCATGCCTCAACACTGGCCTGCTAACAAGATATACCCACTGGTGCAAGGGTGGTGTGAAGGTTATGGGGGTAACCAATCGCCTTCTGATTAAACATGAGGCCTGAGCCACAGAAGGGATTCTGCGCCCGGGATTATAAACCTGGCCAAAAGCCTGTAGCTAGGCAGACCACAGTCCTGAGGGCAGACCTTACCACTGTTATGCTAAATGGCCATGCTCTCAGACTGCGTTCTAAATACACACATTTATACCCATGGATTTGGGCTGCTCTCAACGTTGGACAGAAAGCTTCCTTTTTAAGTGAGTAGTGGTTAACATAGAGACTCATAACCGGTCAAAGTACTAAATAGAAATAACTCTCAGTGCTCACCTATATCAACCACTTCCAAGTCTCAGGGAACTTGGCACAAGAGGACGGGAAAAGAATTGGAAGAGCCGGCAGACGGGGAGGAGAGCTGGGAAATGCTGATGTCTGCACAAGACATGGTTATCATCCACATCAACTCACAGCAGCAGTGGTTACCGGCCCAAGATCAAGCCAGTCGAAATTCCAGCATGGCTGGAGGAAGAAGACCTGAGACCCCACGGCTATCAAAGGAGCTGATGGCAGTTGGTGGCTGCTGAGGGAGGCACGGTCACTCTGATGGCCACGCGGCCATGTGCATAAGGGCAGCATTAATGGGACCCAGGGAGTTATTTATAACAACAAAGAAAGGGGCCGTGGCGCTGGAAGAGAGATGGGGGACATATGAGAGGGAGGTAGCAGTTGATGGACGTGGTAAACATACATTGTATAACGGTACGTAACTTTCAAAGACTAAAAAGCATTATCTTTTAAAAACCTTCCTGACTTCATGGCATGGAGACTGCTCTTGCTCACCTCATTTCTTCTGGGAATTGACAGACAAGTAAAGGCAGACTTGGCCAGCTCTGTAGCCAAGCATAATGACGTAATGCCATGCTAGAGGAGCGATTATAATAAGAATGAGACCCACCGGCCTCTCTTCTCCTCCACTGTCCTAACCTAGTGATCTCACCATCACCACCCTAGCAACCCATGTGACCTTCCATAAGCTTGTTGTCCCTCGGTATTGAGGAAGTGGGGGAGGAGGGATGGGTCCCCAGAAAAGAGATAAGACCGCCTTCCTTTCCTCGCCTTCCCACCACGTGAGATATGTCGTGGGACTGATTGCAGGCCAAAACTTTGGGCTACAGAGAAAAACTCTGCGTTATCTCGTCTGAGCCCCCAAAGAAGAATTTGTGCACCCAGGGTCCCAGCACACTACTTACAGGCAGGAAGGTCACAAACAGCCTTGGAGAAGAGAAACTTTGAAATTCCCGAGTCCCACAGCAGCAGAAGGCACATGGAGGGGCTGAGCCACTAGGGGACACATCTATCGTCCCAGCATTTATGAGACAGAAGCCAAAGGATGAGAAATTTGAGACTAGCCTGGGCTATGTAGTGGGTTCCTTGCTAGCCTGAGCCTCATAGCAAGATCCTGTCTCAACAAGATCCAATAGAAAAGGGATGGGAATGTTAGTGTCATGAAAAGTACCTGCCTAGCAACCACAAGGCCCTGGGTTCGATCCCCAACGTCTCACTCTTCCCCACTAACACACACACACACACACACACACACACACACACACACACACACACACAGAGAGAGAGAGAGAGAGAGAGAGAGAGAGACAGAGACAGAGAGAGACAG